ATTCTCGTGGCCGAACCCTGCTGTCTGCACTCAATTCCCAACGTTTTCACCTCCTTTCCCCCAACTCTCCTACCTACTGGCCCACAGATCCCAACCGTAATCCTGATCTTCTTGATTTCTTTATCCACAGTGGCTTAAGTCCCCTCAATTGTTCCATTACACGTCTAAATGAACTTTCCTCTGACCATAGTCCTCTAATCCTTAATGTTTCACTTGAACCTGTTCCCAAACCTTCTCCACCGTCATTCATTAGGGGCCCAGTAAACTGGGACCTTTTCCGCCAAATAATCTCCGATAATATAGATCTCAACATATCCCTCAAAACTCCCGATGACCTTGATAGTGCCGTAAATTCCTTTACTACCACAATCCAACAAGCCGCCTGGACTGCCTCCTTTCCAAAAGACTCCTCCAGAATTCCTATAAAGACCATTCTACCCCAACACCTCCTTAACCTAATCCGCATCAAACGCCGTGCCAGATTATTATGGCAACGAACCCGACATCCTACCGACCGCTGCTCCTATAATTACTACTGCAAACAATTAAAACTGGAATTAGCCACCTTCAGATCACAATCCTTCAACTCCTACCTATCCTCCCTCTCTTCTCGCGACAATTCCCTTTGGAAAACCACAACAAAAATCCTAAATCCTCACCGCATTTCCCATCCTCTCCGACGAGGTGATGGCTCCTGGGCAGCATCTGACGAAGATAAAGCTGAGGAGTTCGCCATTCACCTATCCAATACATTTATTTCACATCCGGAATCCCATCCTGCCCACACCGTAACAGTAGAAGAACTCCTTACATCACCAATCCCACTTTCCTTGCCCCCAAAAGCTATTCATCCTTCCGAAGTAAAATTTCAATTAAAAAAACTAATCCTCCGTAAAGCTCCTGGACATGATCTCCTTACACCTCAAATCCTTCGACAACTTCCATCCAAAGCAGTCATATTCCTTACATATATCTACAATTGTATCCTACGCACCACCCACTTCCCTCTGTTATGGAAACACTCCACTATTATCCTTTTCCCAAAACCAGGAAAACCTCTCAATAGCTCAACATCCTATAGACCAATCAGCCTACTCCCAATCCTTTCAAAAATTTTTGAAAAGATCCTTTTGAAACGAATCCTACCCATTATAGAATCCCAAAATATCCCTTCCCATCAGTTTGGTTTTCGCTCTCAACATTCTACTGTTCAACAAGGACTCCGAGTTGTTGATCATATTTCCTCAGTCCTAGAAAATAAGGAATACTGTTCGGGTGCCTTTCTGGACATTGCACAGGCATTTGACCGGGTATGGCACTCCGGACTGCTCTCCAAGCTTAAAATCCATTTACCTCAGTCCTTGTACCTAGTCCTCCGATCCTACCTCTCTGACCGCTCCTTTCGAGTTCGCTGTGGAACAGAATTTTCCAATATCTACTCCGTTAAAGCCGGTGTTCCCCAAGGCAGCGTCTTGGGTCCCGTGCTTTACATCCTCTTTACTGCTGACATCCCTGTTCATCCCGATACTTTTCTTGCAACATTCGCTGACGACACCGCAATCTTATCATCCAACTCTGATCCCAAAATAGCATCCTTAAATCTCCAAAGTCATCTCACCTTGATTGAGCACTGGTGTAATAACTGGCGCATTAAAGTTAATGAATCTAAATGCCAACATATTACTTTTACACTCCGACGCAATTCCTGTCCACCAGTACTCTTTAATTCCATCCAGCTTCCTTATTCAGACACAGTCCGGTATCTTGGCTTTCATTTAGACCGAAGACTAACTTGGAACCCGCATACTAGACTCAAAAGACAAGAACTCAACCGACGATACGGCCAACTATACCGACTACTAAGCAGAAAATCTAAACTTTCCATTGAAAACAAGCTACTGATCTACAAGACAATACTGAAACCTATTTGGACTTACGGACTAGAACTGTGGGGATCAGCAAAATTTTCTAACATCAAGCGCATCCAATCCTTCCAGTCTAAAGTCCTTCGAACAATAGTCGATGCTCCTTTCTATGTATCCAACAAAACCCTACATCATGACCTTAACATCCCATTTGTCCTAGACCTTATCCCAGAAAAGTTCTCCAAATTTCACCAGAACCTTACTTACCACCCAAATCCTCTTGCACAATCCCTATCAAGCATCTCCCATCCCTATAATCCTCCAAGAAGGTTGAAACGGCAGTGGCCTCGCGACCTTTTGTAAATTATATAAATTGGAGTTCTGGCAATGGCCAGATTCTTCACTCAAGACATGTGTGTATGTAGCTAAAGTGCTCTCGACCAATCTCCGCTGGCTTTAGTACCAGTGACGCGGTTGGAAGAGTAGCGCAGGGTTCTCCTGGAGTTCCCTCGCCTGATTGTATATAGGTATGCATGTTATTTATTTTTTTTTTCCTTAGTTTTAATTTTCTTATTTTTTAGGTTATTTTATTTTATTGTCTATTGTATATACTTTTAATTATTATTTTGTTCTATTTATTTTATTTTTTTGTACATATGGTGTGAATGTCATCCTACCTCACTATAACCAATGTCGAACAGACAGATTGTTATAATACTCAATAAAGAAATTAAAAAAAAATTATTAATTCCGTCTTGATGTTTTCACTTTAATCGTGTCGTCTCAAGCACACCGTAGTTTATTTTTTCTGTAATAATATTTTCAACCAAATTTTAAAAAAGAAAAAGTTTATATCTTTTATACAATTTAGGTAATATCTTTGAGAATATCAAAATACAAAAAGATGACAAAACATCATTTATATTATAAATTATTCAAAAATAATATTAATTAATGATATAATTTATTATCGAATTTTTCAAAAGTATCTTCGAATCTCATTACTGCTTTCCTGGCATAAATAAAAATATTTATTACGAAATAAGTTTTAAAGCGCCACTATGTGGAACAGAAGTATTTTGATTTTTACTTTCATTTACCTACATATGAAATATATAGTGAGGGACAGTATTGAGATTGTGAAATTTTTCGAATCTGAGTTTACAACGGAAATACATGTTTTGAGATCTCCAGAGTCCAAATAACCAAGTCCCCCAAAATGGTTCGTGTGTGCGTGTGTCTGTATGCATATTTAAGTTTTGTATATACCTGAAATGTTACGGTAACATTTTCATCAAAATCGGCTAACCGGAAGTGGCACTTCACATCATCAATGAAACACATTTACTATTTTCTCGAAAACGGCTCCAACCATTGTGATTAAATTCATTATATCAGTGAAAAATGAAGCAGTTTTTAATATTATGTAGGTTTTATTCTCATTGATGTTCTCTAACAGAGCTTTAATGGATATTTTTCAATATTAGCTTCCTCTAAAGTATCTTTAATTTTTTTATTTGAAACAATTAACCATTTCATATTTCACCAATAGTTAAATATAAAATATGAAAGAATTTGATAATTAAGTAAAGGAGAAACACGAGATCGTAACAGAGAATAGTTGTAATGAAGGAACCGAAGATTTACAAGCGTAGTCGGGCTGTATTTTTTATATACTGCACTTTAAAATAATAATCAAAACACTTTTTGCCCAGGTCTGTTATGAAATCTTAAAGCTAATATTGAAATGTTTTAAATAATGAAATTGATTTAATTAATAACACTAGTTATTGAAAATTGCTTAATTGCGACATGAGATAATATGATTATTATTCTGCTTCGATATTGAATATTTCCAACTATAAGATAGCTATTTATCTATGGGTTATCTGCAGAATGGGGGATGCCAATAAGAATAAATAATGCTTAGAAGCCAGATGGGAGTATCATTCGTGGAGCTGCAGAGCGAGCGTTCAGTTGGTGAGCAACATTTATTTATTAATTTATTTCTTATAAATGATCAAAATCATCATGAAAATTATAAATGAAAATAAAATCATCAGAAACAGTTTGAGCTGAACCTATAAAACAAAATAAACTTTTTTTCCACTATCTGAAAAATGAAAGATGTTTGTCTTTGATATTAAATTACTCATATATTTTTTCATAATAATATTTGGGATAATGCTAAAAATATCTGCATCATGCCTGCATGGAATAAAGGTAGACGTCAAAAAAATATATATTTTTTTTAAAAGCAGGTTTAAAAAAAAGCATTGTAATGGTAGTATATTACTAATGTTATTAATATTTTATTTTTCACTAGGTATGGATTCATTATTTACATCTTTTATTCATGATTTATATCAAATTTGATTTTTTTTATTGATCTGCAACTATTTTTGTATACCATTATTGATCATCTAGTCGAACTTAATTTACTCCTACAAATAAATTATAATAAGTGCAATTTAACAAGCATTCATTTAAACCACATTTTTTATTGTCAATCTATAGTTCATTTTTTTTCAATGCCAAAAATAATAATTAAAAGATAACAAAATTTAAATGTAAATATTTTGACAGTTAAATTTACTAATGATAGATATAATAATTAGAATTAGTCACAGACGTAATAATTCGAAACATGCAGAGAACAATCTCAAAATAAAAAGATTAGAAATTGACAGCTGTCATGAGATACCAATATTTTCCCCGAAACATTTCGGCACCTCCTTCGAACTCCTCCTAATCAAATAATCTATAATTAGGTATTGCGAATTCACACACAGAATTCATTCCAATTCTTTACAATACCATACTATTTAAGGTCTGTCTGCATATCCAAGAAGTTTCTACATTTTTCACTCCTTCATAGCCCTTCCACATTGAATTGAAGAACTCAATATTGAATGAAACAGGAGTTAAAGAAGTGATATTTGTGAATCTTACATTTTTTCTCCAATCTTCTATATTTTTATGAAGTATGTTCCACAAACGCCACTCAAAATTGAATTAAAGGGTTGAAAATTATTTTGTAAATTGAAGTGTTTTAAGGGTCTAATTTTTTTTATGGCGCATGTTGTTCATGTTATTGAAGAGCCTCTTGGGAATTGTTTTACCTAACCTCCCGCTTTTGATAAATTAGTTTGGAGAAAAAAATATAAAATTTAAATCAATACATAAGAAGACAACACTACTATTCAATAATCAAATAATTAAATAAATTTTCCTCTTGCGGTATAGGATTACAACGGAAGTCTTGGTCCAACCAAAACGTTTCATCATTAAAAAAAAAAAAAGAAATTACCGGAGGGATTTATTCCTTAAAGTTTTTTATCAACATAAATGGCATACAATAATAATATCAGGTTATCGTGTTAGATCGTTAATTATCTTTCAATAAATTGTTTCAGACAACAATATTCACGACATATTCAACCAAAGGAGATATGATGGGCTTTACAGTTCTGCTATTAGCGATATTGATGCTAACTTCAACGGTAAGTTCATACTCAGCAGCCTCAGAATATTTTTACTTTTTTTTACTTGCACATGATGCAAAGGAAAATACTTAAAGGAGTGACAGAAAATTTTAAGAGCCACAGAAAAGTTAATATAAATAATGTTCCGATTATCTTTATAAAAGAAAGAAATTTAAGTTTTGTGTTTTTTCAAGCGAGTCACATTTTTTGTTAAACAGAGACGCGATAACTAAAAAAATATTGAAGTAAGACAACTAAATATGTATTTTAAACATCTATATAGTTATCATTTATTTATCATTTAAAAGTTTATCATTTAAAGTGGGCTTTCAAGCGGTTAAACTATAATGTCCTGTTTATTATTAAATCGTTGATTTTCTGTGATGTTTTTATTTATCTCCTTCCAACTCGACAACAGTATTATACTTTAAGAAAAACTTATTTGTTCAATAAACTTTAACTTGATATTAGTTAAGTTGAAATTTGTTATGGAATAAGTCGAGATTCATTTATGTCTAGTAATGAAAAACATATACAGTTTTTCTTTAAAATTGTGTCTTTCAATTTTGAGTTAACTAAATGTTAAAGTAATTTACCAATTTGTTAAATTAGAAGGAATTAGGATAAATAGAAAAATGGTTATACATTACATTAATTGTTAGCCTAAAGAAGTATAAAATCATAAGAATATTTATTTTAATTTTTTTGGTCGGCCGAGATTTTTATTGAAATATTACAAGATATTTAATAGTTTTTATCAATAATTTAAATGATAATTTGACACTTTATAAACCATAACTGATAGATAGAATCTGTATAGTACAGGAGATTGTTAGATAATTTTAGTCAAATTGATTTAAAAAAAAAAAATAGTGTGCGTGCTTTAGACCATAAGATAGAAGTGAGAACATCAACAAGTTGAGATTAATAATATGAAATATAAATTATAAATAATAGCTCATTATAAAGAGGATGGAATACTGAACATTTCTCTCGTTTACAGTATGCAGGTCAGATTTTAGTTTCTGAGATATTTTCATCACTCTTCTTTACCTTCGTCGACTTTATATGTGAAATACAAATGGTCCTAAAACCTTTAGCTGGCCTAACGACTTATTTTACATGTTTGTCAATTATCGGAATTTGGCTATCAACTTGAAAAGTGAGTCGCCTTTTGTAAATGATTAAATTCTTTCCTAGTTTATTTTAAGGATTGTTTTTATTTATACTAACCACAAGATACTGTTATTTATTTCAAATAAACCATATCAAACTTACTTTAGATGTAGCCATTTTACCATTAAATTGCCAGCCATTACATAGCCATTTACAAACTATTACAATGAGGATAAGTCTTCCTTGATATTAAAAGACAATGATACAATGGCACAACATGTTAATCAAAATCGTTAGAGCCGTTTTCGAGAAAATCTTAAAGATGTGTTACATCGGTTACGTAATGTGTCAGATCTAGTAACCACATTTTAATCAAATTGTTGCTAATACATCCCAGGTATATATTTAGTACGAACCTTAACCAGGTAATTTTAGTTTTGTACGACCATTTGAGTTAGGATGTTCGAAACACACAGGCTAACTTGTGAAGTTGGGTTATTGAGGATTTTATTTTTCATGATCGATTACAATGGTTCATTATTAAAAAAATTAAATCAAAATAAGAAACCTATTAGGATGTTTGATTTAAGAGAACGTGATCAACGAAAATAAAAAAGTAATGGCAACGATTGTAGATAAGTTCGAAATGTGTCGGAAAATGCCCCAATTTTTTTTCCTTTTAAAACGTTTACGTTAAATCCCTACAAACTATGTAAAACATTTTTAACCAAATACCTATGCTTCAATTCAGTGCAAAATACTAATTTCAAGTCATTTAGTTGAACCTATTAGGATAGTAGTCCCACCAATGGTGAAAATGAACGGAAATCAGAACGAAGAAAATAGCATTTTAGAAATTCTATACCAGTATTCTATAAAAATTAATGAACTCTGACACGACGTTAATAAGGGTCGAACATGAAAATTGGTTAGATCTGATCACGTAGGTAATATTTCAAATGGTGATGAAATTTTGTTTTTTAATTTGTTTTATTGAGTATTAATACAGTCTGCCACACTGAAGGGCATTGGTACTAGGGCTATAGTATTCATTCACAAAATATGTACATAAGAAAGGGAAAAAAATTAAGTTTTGTGTTTTTATAAACACAAATTTATATTAGCTGAATAATAACAAAATAAATAAAACACATTCATACCTATGTACAGGTGATGAAAATAACGTCTTAGAATGGTCAATAGATATCGTCGATATAAACTGTGGAATATGAAATATTTTCAATTCTGCAATTTAGCAATTATAATTGTAATTAAATACTTAAATAAATAAAAAACAAATAAAAAATCTTCAAACATTCATTAAAGCACATATTAGTGGAAAAATAAAAACATCCTCGTTGTTTAGGCTGAATTGATGATAATATTAGAGTGGCGATTGTCAGATTCATGCATTTGTATCGAAGATAAAATAATAATATTGTTAAAATTTCTTTATTTTTAGTGTGTGGAAACGTCACAGCTAGTCTACGAACCGACGACGCTGGTACGTTCTCTCTGCCCCGACGTTAGCAACACCATGCTTCAAAAGGGATTGGACTACGGTACTGCAGCTTATCAATACGATTTGACCACACCAGCTGTAACAGAGTTCACCAGTTTGCAAGCTCTTCTTCTATCTCTCCTCAACAGTTTAGTAACTCGAGACATGGAATCCACCACTGTCCTGGCCGATTGCGCTAATGACATCCAGCAATTGCGATCCAGGCACGTCTCACTCTGGCTGAGGGAAGACTTCTGGTTTCCAGAAGATGACATTAAAATGGCCATGAATCAGCTCGATTCAATGATAGCAGCCGTAGAACTGGTCTTGGACAAGAAAGTCTTAACGATTTTCTCTTCCCTCGCTGGTAACTACGGGATTGGTCTGCAATCTAATGTACGTTTCACAATTTACCTTTGATATTTACGTTTAAAATATAAATGCTTATTTTTATAGGAACATTTTAACGCTATATTAATATAATTCATTCTGTGACTAAGGCGCCCTCGCTAAGCCTCCACTGGCTTTTAGGACTAGTAACATACTTTAGGGAGAACCGGTGGGATCTCCTTCCTTACTGTTTTTCTCTCCACAGCATACTGGGATGAGCTACGGTTGGATATGTGAGGAAAAAGTTACAATTTGGAAGTTTTACTGCATTTGTGACAAACTAATATCTTTTCCCCTTCATATTCAGTAATTTTTAACTTAATTATCACATAAAAAAATGGTCGGATATGAGATAATAGGTGAAGAAATGAAAACTATCTTTTTTATATTTAAAGCTGGTTTGCAGGTATTTTTTGTTCAAACCTAACGGTATGTGCTAGGCAGAATTAGTTACTTCTTGTGAATCCTAAGACAGCTGAAACATCGGTTTTTAAATATATGCATAGTTGTTACATTTGCAACAATTGCAAGCAAGTTTGGTTAATTCCTCAAATCGCCCATAATAGCTCGAAAAAACAGATATACCCCATTTTTAACAAAGCTTTGAACTTCACTCCTTGCTAAATGCACAGCTTGGTCAGCTGTTTCATTTCCCGCAATGCTGTGGCTGGTACCAAAACGAATACTATTGACATGCCTTTGTTTTTTACTTCCCACCATACATTTAATATTTCTTTAATAATAGAATTACTCGGGGATGGGTTGTCGATAGCGGCTAAGACACTCCATGAGTCAGTTACAACGATCTAGCACTTTTTCCTAGAATCTCTTATAATATAAAGACTGTTCATGATGGGAGTCACCACTCTTGTAAAAATGGAGCATTCATCAGGCAGTTTAAATAGTAGTTGATTCTCCTTATTTGTTACAGCACATCCTACATTGTTTCCTTCCTTGAATGCATCTGTGTATATGAATTCGAAATTTGTATAATTTTCAGTCAGTTTTAAGAACGATTTCTGGATTTAAATCGGGTACGTTCTTGATATTTTGGCGATACATCTATTTATCACAGGTCTGTCTTTTTTCCAATGAGGAATTCTTAATTCTGGGATGGGTCTAATAATGTTTGTGTTCATGTTTATTTTACTTAATGTTTTAAACATTTTAACAAGTTCATATCTTTCGGGTCCTTCTTTAAAAAAATATGAGGAGGGTGATGAAAAGATGATTTCAATTTAGCGACACATTTAAGAGATAAATATTCTCGCCTCAAGTACAAGGACGGTTTTCCAGATTCGGCATAGATGCTGCCGATTGGGGAGGTTCGGAGTGCACCATTGCAGATTCTAACGGCTGAGTTATGCACAGAATCTAATATTCTTAGCAATGTTTTACTGGCTGTTCCATATATTTGTGCTCCATAGTCGATTTTACTTTTTATTATATTGTATATCGTACTTACATGTAATTTTATATTTTATAATAATATGTCGTTATGAAATAGGTAATAAATTATACAATATCTAAACCATGTAATTTTTAGCTCTAAGGTTTCAGTTAATTACAAAAGACTCATATACATGACTACAATAAAACCTATTTGGACTTACGGAGTTGAGCTCTGGGGCTCCATTAAGCCATTGAATTCCTCTCGTATCCAATCCAAAATCCAAATTGCCTTCTCACCGAACATTTTTACAACACTAAGATAACGTGACCCTGTATTCTTATTCTTGGTAATTTTCGTGTGGATAGGAGGAGTCATGTTAATGTTATTTCAATTTTTGTGATTTTCATAAAAAAAAAAAAATAAAAAAAAATAAAAAAAAAATAAAAAAAAAAAAAATGGATTCCATTATAGTTGAGACAGTAGGGGGTTGAACTCATTTGTAAAAAAAAATAACTGTTCCGATCCCTGTATATAATGTTAAAATTTCATCTCTGTCTGTAGTTAAACATTTTTTTTAATAGATGAATTTTTATATAATTATTGTAAGTTGTTAATATGGTGACTAACAAGATATAAATTATAAATTGAAACTGTATATATTTTAAATATTTACAGGAAAAAAATGGCGATTTGGCGCTCGAACTAGAAGACGCTGTGGCTAACAATATCCCTTGTGATATTATTGAACTGGCCAATGAAGGAGGCAATATCAATGGGTTGACTCAGTCCGGGGAGAGCCTTGTTCATGTTGCCGTAAGAACTGGAAGTACGTCTTCAATTGCTGCATTGGGGTTTCTGAAGGCAGATCTTGACGTTCTCAACGCTGCTGGTGCAACTCCTATGGAAGAAGCTGTTAAAATTGACAATGTTCCATCTATCAAGGAACTGATACAGGCTGGAGCTGAAATTGAGAAGCAGTTGCTCGGGGGTGACTCTTACCTCCATATTGCGGCTAGTTCAGGCAAGAATGAAGCATTACGAACATTACTTGAAGCAGGACTTGAACCCGACTTAAGGAACCACCTGGGCAATACTTCATTGCAGCTAGCTCTCGAGGTAGGAAATGTCAAGGGGGTGGAGATCCTATTGGAAAGATGCGCTAATAGTTCTTTGTTGCCAGAAGAAGGAAACAGTCTTCTACATATGGCCGTTGTGTCATCTAATGTTGATTTACTTAAAGCATTTATAAAGTGTAGGACTTTACCAAATCTCAGATTCGGAAGTAATAACACGTTAGTTCACTTAATAGTTCGTTCAAATAATGCAACTGAAATGCTCAAAATACTGAAAGGTCAAGAACTGCCATTAAACATAAAGAACGCGGATGGTGTTGCGCCTTTACATATAGCTACCGACCCAGCAGTTGTCGAGGCGCTGCTGGAGATGGGTGCGGATGTCAATATAACTACAGAGAAAGGAGAAACAGCACTCCATATAGCTTCGGCTAAAGGACACCTGGCTGTCACAAAAGTTCTAGTTAAACATGGTGGAGGAATTGATATACAGGATTACCAGGGCGAAACTGCTCTGATGGTTGCTACGAAATCAAAAAGGAATGTACCAGTTGTGTTTTTATTGAACAGCGGTGCAGATCCAACACTCAAGAATAAAGAAGGTCGGACGGCACTACACTTTGCCTCTGAAGCAGGGTGCATTGACTGCGCATTGTTGTTGTTGGACAATGGAGCAAATGTGGATGATACGGACAGTAATAAATCCACATCTCTTCATTATGCGGCACGAAAAGGGCAAGTTGGCGTGGTCACTTTACTGTTGGAACGAAGAGGAAATCTAAGAGCCAGGTCAGATTCTGGCAGGACACCACTAATGGAAGCATCTGAAAATGGTCATTTTGATGTGGTGAAGCTTCTCATTGACCGAGGAGCTTCTATCAACGATAATGATAAAGACGGTTTAACTGCATTACATTATGCAGCACAAAAAGGACAAGTTAGCACGGTGACTTTACTTTTGGAAAATGGAGGAAATCTAAGAGCTAAGACAAGTAGAGGAAAGACACCACTAATTGAAGCATCCTATTATGGCCATTTAGATGTCGTGAAGCTTCTCATTGACCGGGGAGCGTCTGTCAACGATAAGGAAGAGGACGGATGGACTGCATTACATTATGCAGCACAAAAAGGACAAGTTGGCGTGGTGAGTTTACTGCTGGAACGTGGAGCAGATTCAACAGCTAAGTCAACTAGGGGCAAGACGCCACTGATTGAAGCATCCTATTATGGCCATTCGGATGTGGTCAAGCTTTTAATTGACCGAGGAGCTCCCATCAACGATAAGGATGAGGACGAATGGACTGCATTGCATTTTGCAGCACGAAAAGGGCATGTTGCTGTGGTGATTTTACTGCTGGATCGTGGAGCAGATCTAACAGTTAAATCCAGTAGGGGCAAGACGCCACTGATTAAAGCCTCTTATTACGGCCATTTGGATGTGGCGAAGCTCCTAATTGACCGAGGAGTGCCCATCAACGACAAGGATGAGGACGAATGGAGTGCATTGCATTATGCAGCACGAAATGGGCAAGTTGCTGTGGTGACTTTACTGTTAGAAAGTGGAGCAGATCTAACAGCTAAGTCAAGTTTGGGCAGGACACCACTGATGGAAGCATCTAATAATGGCCATTTAGATGTGGTGAAACTTCTAATTGATGGAGGAGCACCCATCAACGATAAGGATAAGGACGGATTTACTGCCTTATATTTTTCAAATAATTCTGGAAATAAGGAGTTAATAGATTACCTTAAATCGAAAGGGGGGGTTTAGTAACTTCTGAATACCCTGTGTACAGCTGAAATACTAAGTTCTGTAGCATTTATTAATTGTTTAACAAAAGAGTGTTATAAAATTAATGGTGTTTTTTCATTGAAATGAAATATCTTATAATATTATACTGTAATATGTAAAGAAATAAAACAAAATTTTGTGAATGTGCAAATGATAAAAATAATATGTGTTTATATTTTCTAATGTATATATATAAATATTATGAGGAACAGAGGAAGGGTCAGCCTACTCACAAAGAAAAAGAAGGCTCCTCAAAATTCGTCCAGAATTCAGCAGATAATATTGAGCCACCGTTACAGCCACTACCCGACTATGTACTGACAAAGAACATTGCTACAGAACCACGTTACTCATCTAAATTGACGAAAATTGACGACACACTGATACTTAACCTTCAACCAAATAAGATCTCAAACGTCCCAGACATTACAACACATTGACAAGTTTAACGAATTAAAAAACCATGTTTTGCCTCTGATATCATTGATTACATCGCTGGTATAGCATTTTCTACTAAAGCTTACTAAATGAAAGGACTAACAGTAATTCTTTGGAAAGCCTGAAGACTTACACAACGCAGTTCATCACCTCACACAAACAATACAATATTCAGCATGGACTTCTAACATAACTAACAAAAAGACAGACAAACATGACTATAATTTCTTTTCACCGGAGATAAGATAGCTCATCGTACAAAAACTAAAGGCTCGTAAAATGTGGCTCGTATGAGACGAACAAATACGGAAGTTGACAACTTCTTGAATGGTTTAGCAACTTGTGAGAGGATGGCCAGAGAGCATAACCAATCGGATTCTACAGCATCATGATGTCTCACATCCTCTCAGACATCCTGATGGTTATTGGACAAAATCAGATGCTCTAAAAGCGCAATTGTTTGCTCGCCACCTCGAGGAAACATTTAAACCTCACGATAACATACATGACAAACTCTCTACCACAATTGTTCAAAGTCAACTTAACGTCCCCTTACCTATGACATTACCACCAAATTCAATTCATCCTTACGAAGTTCAAAAATTTAATTCAGAGCTTGCCAATGAACAAAGCTCCGGAATTTGACTTAATAACGAATTTCATCATAAAAAATTTACTTTGGAAAGCAATCCTTTTTCTAACAAATATATACAATTCTATTCTGGGAATCACCCATTTCCCAACCCTCTGCGAATATTCTGAAGATGTCATGGTATTAAAACCTATGAAAATTCTTATCGTCCAATCAGCTTTCTTCTACCTTTTCAAAATTAATCTTCGTCATCTCAATTCTCTTGATATATTTAGATTTATTCGAAATCATCAATTCGGTTCAGAAAGCATCATTCAACTGTTCAACACTGGCATGATTCCTTCGACATACTATCTAATACTACTCTCATATCCAACGGATAGAAATTTTGTAGTAAAAGTGGAGACAGAACGTTCTGACATTAAACCATTATCATCTAAATCATTAAATCTAAATTTAAGCAGGAGTACCTCAAGGTAATTTCCTTGGACCAATATTGTTTAATATATGTCTGACCTACCGGAACACAATGGCACTCTACTGGCTAATTTTGCTGACTATACCGCAATCCTCAGCTCAGATGAATACCCTGTTCGAGCATCTACCACTCTTCAAAACCACCTGAGCGATATTGCTGATTGGGCCACAAGATGGAAAATTAAAATGAATGAAAAAAAAGTATGCATGTAGTATTCACATTTAACCATACACCTTCCCTCGAAATATATTTTAACAACGTTGAAATTCCACCATCCGATGTAATTAGTTATTTAGGTTTTTACCCGGACAAAGGCTTACCTTAAGAACTCGCATTAGACAATAACTAATAGAATTAAACAGATGATACGGTCTTTTATCGAGGTTACTTGACAGACGTTCAAAATTATCTTAAACTAAAAAACTAACCCTAAACCTAAACTAAAGTTTTACTTAAACCAATTTGGACCTACGGCATAATACTGTGGGATTCTGCTAAAACTTCCAAGATTAAAAAAATTTAGTCCTTTCAGTCAAAAGTGTTGGGAAGGATAGTTGACGCACCGTTTTTTTGTGGCAAATGATATACTACATAAAGATTTAAACTTACCAACAATTTTAGACACTGCAAAAGAAAACTACAATTTCTTTTACTTTCACCAAAGACTGACGTATAACATGAATCCTCTGACAAAAATCCTTCAACGTACAAGAAACCCGTACAGCCCATTACGACGGTTACTTAGGCGTTGGCCAAGAGAGCTGCTGATCTGATTTATATCCCAGAAATTCAGCAAATTCAAGCAAAAGCATAGAAAAATACTTTATATAACTTTTTTTAAATCATCAATGAAAATCTAAATGTATTTAATTATTTCCTTGGAATGATTGCGGCGAATACTAAATGAACCTGAAAGCAGAGATAATAAATTTTTAGTAGAGACAATTAGATGTAAAGGCTTTAAAGTCAATTCTTTCAGTTTATTTTATTATCTATGCTTTAAATTTCTTGACAATGAGTTAAAGATTTTACAGTTATCAAATTGAACCTCAGTGATTGGTATCTTTTAGTCCGGTATTTATGAGAACATTTATAGCTATATATTAAGCTAAGGAAGTTTTAACAATTTCCGCGCTATAAAGCATCAAAATTCATTATGTGATTCGTGGCATGCGAAAAACATGGTGGAGGCATCTCAAATCATTTAAAACTTGAAAAATTACGGAAATAAGTTAATGATTGCAAAACAACATTGACGAATTGGAAAACGAGCCAAAAAATCCTTAATGGACAATATTGGAAAACTTAGTAAGGTACCATTTCTTTAATGAATAATCAATCAGATACGTTGTTTCTGAAAAATTGTTGTCAATCAGTGATAGTGATACAAATCTCCAAAATAATCTCAGTCATGATTTACTTCGTTAACAAATTATTTAGTAAAATATTTCAGTATATCGCAACTTGACCTTAAATCTTACATCATAAAATAGCGTAAAAAAATAAAATGTCATAAGCGATTTAAATAAAAACTAATGTGAGAACATTTAATAAAATAATTTATTTAATTAAAACAGCATCCAAAAAACTAGGTTTGAAATCTTGTACTTATATCTATAACCTATTATACTGGAACTGAAGCCGAAAAAAAGTCTGATTTAAAGTTTAAAATTTTTGACCGAAGATACTGGAAGTATTCTCGCCATAGAGTGCAAACATGGACGTCTGCCAGCACTAATATTTACATTTTCCTGAAAATAATTGAAGCAATAGCTAGGTTTTTTTATTTTAAACATAAATATTAGTGCTAGAATAATTAACTTTACGCATACGCATTCATTCCTAAGATCGAAAAAAAGGCTATTTCATAACTGCCTTACATAATAAATATTTGAACAATTATTAGTTTTAAATTTTTTATATTTATAAATAAAATATGTTTTCTAAAAATTATGTTTATTACGATACATCCCATATCACGGAAAAACAAGAAATAAAAGCTCCGCAACAGTTAATTTTAGTCATTTGCAGAAAACACATGTACTTTAAAGTGACTGGATAAGAAATTACATAATTTCTTTATACAACTTAAGTTGAATCTCATTTTCTTTCCAAATAAGCCTCAACTTAATTAATGTGGACTTAAAGCTTTTTAAAAGAGGACGTTTTTCTAAAAGTGGGGTAAATGTAGTACAGTTAAAGGGTAATAACAAAAAAAATCACAAATAATTTATGACTTTTTTTTAAACAGAATTTAGCGGTGTTTGTACACCTAATAGTCTAGTTATTGAAAATTGATTAATTGCGACGTAAGACTTTATTATGACTATTATTCTGCATCAATATTGAATATTTCTATTTATAAGGTGCCTATTTATCTGTGGGTTATCTGCCGGATGGGGTTACCAGTAAGAATAAATAATGCTAGAGGCCAGACAGGAGTATCATTCGTGGAGCTGCAGAGCTAGTGTTCAGTTGGTGAGCAACATTTATTTATTAATTTATTTTTTACAAACAGTTCAATAAAGTTGGGAGCATTCTGTTTAGTTAATGTATTTTTATTATGTCTGTATAATCTGATTCAATATAACATTATATCACATTCTTTATTATTTGTTAAATATCCACACATTGTATCAAAATTATATTACTAACTAATTTTTTCTTCATAATAATATTTTCTACAACTTATTTAGTTACTATAGAGTATACCACTATAAGTAACCTTTCCACTCCAGTTGCGATTCATATAAGTGACCTCATATCAAAGACGAACATCTGCCCTTTTTAAAAAGTCGAGACTTTTTGTAACAGCTTCAATTTAGACCAATTATAATGATTGTTTTTCGTAATTCAACTTGAACATTCTTAAATAAAATCATCGGAAACAGTTTGAGCAGAACCTATAAAACAAAAATAAACTTTTTTTTCCACTTTCTCAAAAATGACAGATGTCCGTCTTTGATATTAGGTTACTCATATATTTTTGTCAGTACAATATTTGGGATAGTGTCAAAAATATCTGCATCTTACCAGTATGGAATAAAGGTAAAAGAAAAAAAAACTTCTTTTTAAAAACAAAGTAAAAAATCTGGTGTGTCCACTCAGACGACTTTCCTACCTATTTCGGAAAAGCTATCTTTACATATGTCCATCAAGAAACAAAAAAAAAAAAATTGAATTAGATTAATTTCTTAAAAATTTATCAAAGAAATCATTTGAGTACGATTTATTTGATTAATTGAAATGAATTTAAGTACAATTAAACTAAATCAATGTAAACCGGCTTAAGGTAGATCAGTGTAAAAATTTCTATACCCTGTAATATTATTGATCAAAAACCTTTTGCCAAAGAATAATTTCTGATAAAAGTAGAGGAAATAGTGAAGCTTGTGTGATGCGGGCAACAGATTTTCTTACTTTACTTAGTTATCTTATCTCTCTTATTCACCTCTTCCTGACACCAGGATATGAACCCATAATCTTATATTGGAAATTGAATACCTGTAACTTCGTTAATGGTTGTCCGAAATGAACGATTTTTATATAGTTTTGTAGGTAATTTAATTAGCTTTTATTATATAATATATACTTAACGAGTAAGGCTCCAAAACATTTTTCTTTTCTTTATAACTTTTTCCTGAATTTCCTTGGGAATTTAGTCTATATACGAATATTTTATATATATATATATATATATATATATATATATATATATATATATATATATATATATATAGATAGATTCATTATTTACACCTTTTATTTATGTTTCAACTTTATTTATTTTATTCATTTGTAATTATGTTGATATTTTTTTTTATATTAGTCCAATTTAACAAACATACATTTAAACTATACTTTTTATACTCTGGCTATCTATTGCTATTATTATTTTTTTTTTTTGCAACGCCAAAACTAATAATTAAAAGATATTTTCCCCGAAACATTTCGGCATCTCCTTCAAACTCCTTCCAATCATATAATCTATAATTAGGTATGGAGAATTTCATTCCAAGTAGAACAATACCATACTGTTTTAGGTCATTGTCTGCATAACCAAGAAGGTTATAAGTTTTTCGCTCCTTCATAGCCCTTCTAAATTGATTTGAAGAGCTCAATACTGAATGAAACAAGAGTTAAAGAAGTGATATTTGTGAATCTTACATTTTTTCTCCAATCTTCTAAATTTTTAAGTAGTATGTTCCACAAGGACCACTGAAAATTGAATTAAAGGGTTAAAAATTATTTTGTAAACTGATGTATTAGAGAAGAAGGGTCTTTTAAGGGTCTAACATCTTTTTCGTGTTATTGAAGAGCCTCTTGGGAATTGGTTTACCTAACTTAATCCTTTTGATAAATTAGTTTGGAGAAAAAAATATAAAATTTTAAAAATCAATATATAAGAAGACAACACTACTATTCAATTTTCTCTTTCAAGCAATAGTCAAATAATTAAAACAAAATTCATATTGCAGTACAGGACTTCAATGGAAGTCTTGGCCCAACCAAAAATAAAAACTTTTCATCATTAAAAAAAATAAAATTACCGAGAGGATTTCTTGCTTGACGTTTTTTATCAACATAAATGGCATACAATAATAATATCAGGTGATCGTATTAGATCGTTAATTATCTTTCAATAAATTGTTTCAGACAACAATATTCACGACATATTCAACCAAAGGAGACATGATGGGCTTTACAGTTCTGCTATTAGCGATATTGATGCTAACTTCAACAGTAAGTTCATACTCAGCAGCCTCAGAATATTTTTACTTTTTTTTACTTGCACATGATGCAAAGGAAAATACTTAAAGGAGTGACAGAAAATCTCAAGAGCCACAGAAAAGTTAATATAAATAATGTTTCGATTATCTTTATAAAAGAAAGAAATTTAAGTTTTGTGTTTTTTCAAGCGAGTAACATTTTATGTTAAACAGAGAAGCGATAACTAATAAAGTTTGCATTTGCTAAAACGATTTAAAGGGGCCTTTCAAGCGGTTAAACTATAATATCCGGTTTATTATTAAACTCGATTTTCTGTGATTTTTTATTTATTACCTTCTAACTGGACTACAGTATTATACTTATAGAAAAACTTCCTTGTTCAATAAACTTCAAGTTGATATTAGATAGCTTCAACTTTGTTATGGAATGAGTTGAGATTCATTCATGTCTAGTAATGGAAAAAAATATTATGTTTCTGTTTAAAATTGTCTTTCAATTTCGAGTTCTGAATGTTAAAGTAATAAAATGATTATACATTACATGAATTGTTAGCCTAAAGAAGTATAAAATCATGAGCATATTTATTTTAATTTTTTTGATCGGCAGACACCTTTATTGAAATATCACAAGATATTTAATAGTTTTTATCAATCATTTAAATGATAATTTGACACTTTATAAACTATAACTAATAGATGCAATCTGAATAGTACAGGAGATTGTTAGATAGTGCGTGCTTTATTTAGACCATAAGACAGAAGTGAGAACATCAACAAGTTGAGATTAATAATATGAAATATAAATTACAAATAACAGCTCATTATAAAGAGGATGAAATACTTTACATTTCTTTGGTTTACAGTAAGCTGGTCCGATTTTAGTTTCTGAGATATTTTAATCCATATCTTCAATAAAACTAGTTATAATTTGGTTCCAACACTATTTTTCCCTTTTCTTCTCTCTAAAACGGCATCGCGTTAAGATGAAATTTTGAATAATAGTCCATTGCAGAGAGGATGAAATGCTGAACAATTCCGTCGTTTACAATATGCAGATCTGATTTTTACCCGAGCGTTCCACAACGAGGAACTGACGGTTCAATCTTATTCACTCTCCACAAAAATGTGTAAAACGCGCCTAAAGAAGTTTTAACTTCAAAAACAAAATCTTAATTTATGTTTTGAACTATTAAGCTTTAAAATAATTGTAAATATTTAAAAAAATATTACTTTCCAGAAATTATTATTTATATTTTTTGATCACTCTCCTTTACCTTCATCGACTTTATATGTGAAATACAAATGGTTCTAAAAACTTTAACGTGACTTTGTCCGATTTTTATGGAAATTTCTTATTTCCTAATCACTAGAATGTAATGAACTCCGATTCGACGGTTAATAAGGGGCGAACAGGAAAATGGTTAGATCTGATCATGTAGTTAATATTTCAAATGGTAACGCAAATAACTTCTTAAAATGGTCAATAGATATCGTCGATACAAATACAAACTAATAAATACAAATTGTGAAAAATTTCAATTCTGTACTCTAGCAATTGTAATTGTAATTAAATAATTTTAAAGAGCGAATACGCAATTTTCAAACATTCATAAAATCAAATGGTGCGGAAATTAAAACATTCTCGTTGTTTGAGGTAATAATATTTGATAATAATATTAGAATGTTCATTTTCAGATTCTATAGCAAGCATTTGTATCGACAGTATAATAATAATATTATTGTAATTTTTTTTTGTTTTAAGCGTGTGGAAACGTCGCATGTCGTTTTCGAACCTAAAACACTGGTGAGCTCTATCTGCCCCGACGTTAGCAACATCATGCTAGAAAAGGGACTGGACTACGGTACTGCAGCGTATCGCTACGATCTGATCACCCCAGCTGTAACAGAGTTCACCAGTCTGCAGGCTCTGTTGTTATCTCTCCTCAGCTGTTTAGTGAATCAAGACATGGAAACTTGCGCCATCCTTGCCGATTGCGCTAATCACATCGAGCAAGTGCGGTCCAGGCATCTCGGACTCTGGCTCAAGGAGGACTTCAGGTTCCCAGAAGACGACATGAAACTGGCAATGGCTCGTCTCGATTCAAAGGTAGCTGGTGGAGCACTGGTCCTCAACTCTAATGTCTTAACGGTTTTCTCTTCTCTTGCTGACAGCTATGGGGTTCGTCTGCAATCGAAAGTACGTTTTTCACAATTTATCTTTAATATTTACTTTTAAAAGATATATGCTTTTTTTATAAGACCATTTGAACGCTACATTAATATAACTCATTCTGTGACTGAAACCCTCGCTAAGCCTCTTCTTCTGGCTTTTAGAACTAGTGACGTACTTGAGGTATATATATATATATATATATATATATATATATATATATATATATATATATATATATATATATATATATATAGGATGGCACGTAAAATCATGAAGCGTTCCACATTTTTCAATAAACACAGAAGCAATATAGTAGTTTATTGAATAATTAAAGTTCAGATAAACAATGGGCCAATTTTCAGCTGAAAAGTTGGATGAAAGTTAAGTTAAAAAAGTTATGTAAGTGTATTAGTTACACTAAATTAAAGTTAAGTTTACAAAGTAACAAGTCTAAATACTGTGTTTTTTCAAGCAAGTCGTGTTTTTAGTTGAATAGGAAACAATAACTAAAGAAATATTTAATGTAAATAATTAAAGATTGCATAACTGTAAACTAGACAAAATTTACTTCAAATAAAGATAGAGTTTATCATTGTCAAAAACATTTAAAGAAGACTTTTGAGCGTCTATTCTTATTCCGATTCATAAAAACGGCGGATTGTAATAACTATCGAGGAATCTCACTCCTTCCGGTATGTTATAAAATATTCACACTAGTCCTTACTAATCGAATCACGGGATACGCCGAGGAGATTATCAACGCGGATTTAGACAGTTGAACAACCCACTCATTCAAGTATTGGTCAAATATTTTCTTTACGGCAAATATTGGAGAAAAAATTAGAATACAAGGGTGGTAATGTGTACCGAAAAAGGGTTGAATCTGGGTGGAACCTATTAACCGAAGACAGAGAAACTATAAAACTAAATACGACAATGTTAATAAAAGCCAGTAAAGAACTAATGCTTTTAAATAATTACCAATTGCTTCACTGTAAACATTTACATTAAATGGAATTACAGTTTGACGTTGTCAAATCCATTTAAAGAGGACATTTACGACTATACTAAGCTATTTTCTATTTTAAAAAATCTGGTGTGCGCAACACACGACTTTCACTTACTGTTCAACTTTGAATAGAAATTATTTTCTGGCCATGTTGGGCTATTATAAAATTTTGGAATTGCATTTTAAACCGACCTAAAGCTAAAAAAATTACAGCTATCAAATCATAAATACCATTAAAATAACATAAGTCCTATTTATCATATCACCGCTTGATTATGGATTGTACGACTATTAGTTATTAAACTGTTATTTTTCATTGCAAAGTGTATTAAAACCGAATTAAGAGATTTGCATTGTCTGTCATGTACAGGCCAAAAGTTGTCACACTAATTGTAAGTGGGTACTGTTGGAATATCACAAAAGGAAATTTCATCAAAGTATTCACTACTTTAATTTTCTAAAAGGTTACATAATGATTTTTCGGAATAAACGGACAATAGATACCTAAATATTTAAATATAATTACAGATCTAGAAATATTAAAATACAGTAAATGTATTTGAGGTTATAAGCATATGCTTTATACATCCATGAAACAATTTTATATTTTCAGAGGGAAGGTTTATCTAATTATTCATTAATTTAATTTTCTAAAAAGTTACCTGACAATATTTCAGAACAAACGGATGTTGATACCTAATTATTTAAATACAATATCAGATCTATAACCACTGAACTACAGTAAATGTATTTAAGGTTATAAGTATATGCTTTATACATCCATGAAATGATATGATATTTTACTTCTTGTTTCACAAAAGTACATTGAACAGTTTTTTTAACAATGTCATTTTCTTGATTAGGTGGATTTTAAATACTTTTTCAAACTTAACTAAATTTAAATATATTTTAAAAGTTTACATTTAGTTAGTAAATTTCACTTAATTTCCTTGAAAACATGTGATTTACGTTAAATATTATCAGTTTTCAAAACTTATTATTTATAGTTGTTTTGCCACTCTCCGCTACCTTCTACAAGTTGCTGTATTGTTTTTTTTTCTAAAATTCTCCACTTTCCAACGATATATCATAAACATGCCTTCTGACAAGCATTTCCGGAGATTCATTTTCTACCTGGATAAGCATTTTTATTTTTTTCTCCTTTATTCAATTATCAAATTGTTTCAAAAGTTATTCTTAGCATTTTTTCGTAAGTTTTATACATGTAGCAATTATGGGATATGTAACAATTTATGGGATATCTAGCAATTAAGGTTAGTGTGCTGATTGACGCCGAACTGGATTAACGGAATAGTCGAATAGGTTGCTTGCATCAAAAGTGAACCATAATGACTAAATTTAATTTAGTGTTTGATTATATATAAAGAAATATAATAAGATCCTAACCATAATTTTAAGATAAAAATTAGCAAATTTTAAAAATATTAATTATAATGCGAAGATTCAGACAAACTATTTTTTTTTCTCTTATGCCAAAGTCGTTGGTCATTTGGCCATCCGACATCTTGCAGCCCAGTATCATTTAGATTTTTTAATATATATATATTTAAAATTGTTTTTCTCTTATGTCCGTCAAGGCAGGACATGTGTCTAGATGGTAATACATTGTTCCTTGATGACACAATTTACATCTAGGATCCTCAGCCACGCTTATTTTGTAGAGATGACTCTGCAGATAGTCGCTGCCAGTGGCCAAGCGGAAGCAGGCAACTGCATCTCTTCTCGGTAGTTCAGCTGGAATCGGATTATATTTCAAACACTCATAGCGTTTCCCTTCCATTTTGTCCAAATGTGCTTTTCTAATTTCTTCTTCACTACCATCTTTACCATTCGCCGTATTGAATCGTAAGGTTGAATCGGCTGTGGCAAATCTGTTCCTCTCTTGGCAAGACTATAAGTCTCAACGTTTCCCGAAATTCCACAATGGCTGAGGACCCACTGTAGGACCACATTGGTGCCTCGGAGTGTCATGTTAGAGAGGAGAGATTTGTATTCCAATACAGCACTCGATAGACATTCATTCGTGTTTGTAACAGCGAGGATGGCTGCTTGAGAGTCGATGAAGAGAACAGCGCTCTGGTCCCGCCTTCTATACAATGTTCTTAAGGATGTGAGGATCGCCGCTAGCTCACCGTCGAAATTTGTTCCATCTTTACCCACCGCAGCGCTGATTTGGAATTCCCTTGAGCAAACCCCTGCTCCAGCATTTTTAACGGCTGATTCAGCTGATCCGTCGGTATAGATATGGAGCCAATCTTGAGTACTTTGAGCTTTTATTTACCTTTACGTCAAGGGCGCACAATCTTGATCTACAAGGGTAAAGGAAATGCCAACAGCATATCATCATGGCGACCCATTACCATTTATTCAATTGTGCGCCGAATTATTGAGAAGGTTCTGGACCATGAACTGAGAAAACAGATCAAGTTCAGCAAAAATCAGAGGGGCTTCATCAGAGACCTACCGGCAGCACACGTAAGCGCAAGAATTATATACGCAATCATAAAAGACGCCAAGAATAAAAAGAATGATTGCGTGGTGGTGTTTTTGGATGTCGTTGGCGCTTTCGACAACGTTGGTCACGAACATATAATCGGCTCACTAGAGGCAAGAGGAGTGTCACCGGACCTGAAAAACGTAATTGCGGCTCTCCTGGGGTCAAACCAAATCAAGATTGGAATCGGACCGCACTCGATTAGCTGGATCAAGGTACGAGGAGTACCACAAGGCGGACCCTTGTCGCCCTCGCTGTTCAACCTGGCTCATCATCTATACCGCGATCTTTGTGAGCAAGAATTTTCCAACCGCTATAGATATAAATTAAGCAGAGACCAAGAATGTGTGGTCCTCACAGGCTTCGCGGATGACCAGGCTGTTACAGAGCGTGACAACGGTGCTGCAGAGAGGATTGTCAATGGTGTGCAGAGGATCCTTACCGAGATTGGTCTAGCAATAAATCCACAGAAAAGCGAGGGCTTAATAGTCGAGAAAGGAGAGCTGCAACAAACAAAGCTATCCCTAGAGAACGAAGAAGTTATTGAATCAACAAAGGCAGGTGAAACTATAAAGTATTTAGGATGTGCGTTCTCGGGAGAGCTGGTATTAAATGAGGAAATGGTGACCAAATTAAACAACAACTTTGACAAATTGGTTAGCTCTTGCCTTCTTAAGCCGGAGCAGAAGATCAACGTTGTAAACCAGTACGTGTTCCCGGGACTTACTTACCCTCTTCAGACGGCGCCCCTTACAAAGATACGTCCTGCGAAATTGGAAGGGATCGATACAAATATCCGCAGGAGTGTCAAGGATATTATCGCTCCCTGCTAATGCATCAACGGCGATGTTCTATGCACCGAGGAGGTTTCGTGGATTGGGACTGATCCGCTGTCAATGGGAGGCTCCTTTGCAACATTGGTCCATTGCCCAGCGGCTGTCTAATGTACCGGATGCCCTGTTCCAGTCCACATTTGATTATAATGCGAAAATCGCAGACTGTGCGGAAAGACTGGGAGTGGATCAGGGCCACCGAAGCGTGAGAGCTCTACGACAGTCGCTGAGAGAAAACTCTTTCGAAGAATGGGCCAGCTGCAGATGGCAAGGCGTTGGAGTTCGACACTTTAAAGAGACCCCGAAAGCCAATAAATACATATACCAGAAACAAGTGCTTTCGGGGTCGGAATGGTCCAACGCCTTAAAACTAAACATCAATTACGCACATTTACGTGGAGTCCCAGGAGCCAGTGGACAGTCGAAGGAAGTTGGGTCCCTCTGTCGTAAATGCGGTAGAGAGTCGGAAACACCAGCCCACGTGCTGGGAAAATGCCCCAACAATTCTTTCCTCATAACACGCCGGCACCATAGGGTAAAGTTCGAGGTGATGAGGCTCCTTAGAGAAAAGGAATTCACCTGCTTTGACGAGGTCTATTGCATAGACAGTGAAGGCTCTACAAGATATGCGGATATTGTCGCGTTTCCCAGGACAGGAGGGACAGCG